TCACCAAAGGAAAACCAAACAGCTGGTGACACAGGAAGACAACTGTTGCCAGAAGGAAAAAATTCTATTTAGGGGGAAGATTTTTGGGTTGGGTCCTGTGCTTGTGTATGAGGGTAGGCATCAGAGTGGAAGACCTCAGAGTAGGGTCAAATCTGGAGTGGCAAATAACTTCAAATCTGAGTCAGTGAAGTTGGGAAGAAAGCCTAGAGACATTCCCAGGAGGAAACCACAGCTAAGACCAGGGTTAGAATAAAAATGGGTGGAAAAGTGACGAGTTGATGATGAGACCAAAGGAGCAAGGTCAAGAAGTGTGGTTCAGTATCAAACTATGTGTGGTGCATCTGTTGGAACTCCTTTTATCATCCTAGTTGCATTCTGCAAAGTCCAGAGTTATGAGTTCAGGCAGACTCATGAAGCTGTGCATCCTAAAAATCAGGATTCATATTTCTATTGAAGCTCTGCCTCTCCTTTGCATTGTGACCTTGGGCAGCAACTTTCATTATTCACTTGGTAAATGATTGTAATAACCGACTGAAAGGCAATTATTTGATGTCAGGTGCTGTTGAGATTAAAAAAAAAACAACAACAAATAAGCCATAGACTCTACCCTCAAAATGTTTTTCTAATATATTAAATTTTAAAAAATGCTATGCCTTATGACAACTCTGATCTTCTTTTCATCCATGAAAATTATGGTTCATATTGCTTTCAATGTAGGTTTTGATTTGTTTATTGCATTTTTATTTGTTTTATGTCTTTGTCATTTCTTGTCCCTCTCACTGTGTTGTCTTTTCATCTTAACTTTTCCTGTAAGTTTATGCCCTACCCTATTTTAGAGAGATATGCCTTTTAAAAAAACCTCTAGAATATACCAAGAAGTTCTCCAATATTTTCTTTTGTTTTCAGTAATAAGTTTCAAGAGAACTTTTTGTAAGTGTTTTAAATGGTATTTCTTTCTTCTTTGTATGCAATGCTTTTCCCTGTGGGGCTCACTTTATTATTTTTTAAAATACACCCCAATTAGGAGCTAGGCCTATTCAATATTTCCCAGAACACAGGACACATGATTCACTCTCAGCCCCATTCACTGTACACTTGATTTGCTTCTTTGGATCTCCAACTAGATGCCAGTGACCAGAGTGCAATGGTTTTTTTATCTGTGTAGCTTTATAGGACTGAGGAAGGTCACTGTTAACTGACTTCCTAACCTTAGAACAATCCTTCTTCCAAATTCACAGAGCTGTCAAGGCTTTTACTGTGTCTGCCCCAGAAGCAGAGTTTTATGCAGGAGGCTTAGAATGCAAGTCCTTGCCTTGATTCTGACTCATACTTCCGGCCCTTTGGCAGCTTTCAAACAGATTGAACTGAAAGGAAGATAGGGAATGTTTCAAGTTGTGGGGGGAATCTAGGAAATTAAACTCACTGTCTGCTTCTAAAAATCAATACAAAACAAAACAATACAACATAACCAAGGGCAGTAGAGAAGAAGGGTAACTGTCCTGTTTTTAGGCTTAAAACAGCTGTGTGCTTGCAGCTAGGGAGCAGAAGGTGGAGAGAGACTTTGTTCCTATGTCCTATAGCATGTTTATCAATCAAGCTGAATAGTCTTCCAGATTCTCAAAGATCTTCCCAGATTCTTTTTGGGAATCTCAAACCTAGTTTGCCTAGTTGAGTATCATTCTAATTTTCAAACCCTCCATAAGTTTATGCCACTTTTACTTCTTCACTGGTATTTTCAAGTAGAGAAAAGCTGTGTCAGCTCACCAGAGAGGTGCCCTTTAAAAAAACAAAACAAAACAAACAAACAAACAAAAAAACCCCAACAACAACAAAGTGAGAGATTGGCTAAGCCATTCCTTTGGCTTGCCCACATGTCCATGCTGCAAGGCTCTCACTATGGAATGGTGATGGACACACCCACTCATACATGTACAGTAATGATTTTGCACATTTTCATGTGAACTTAGGACAGATACTTTTCTTCTTTCCATTTTCTGAGCTTAGCATAGACTTGTAAATATTAGGTATTCATTAAAAAGTGAATGGATGGATGTTTAACAAAGGTTTGGGGAGAGTCAATGGATGAAAGAGTAATGAACTGGGAGGATAGGATGCTGTGGAAGCAGAAGAGCCCAGGGACTCCAGAGTGTCTCTGGGAACACACTTTCTTTCATTTTTCCCCAAGAAAAAATATGCTAACTGTAATCTATCATGGGTTAGACAAATGAGGAGCCAAATTGTGGCTATTCATACATTCGTGCTCTCTCTCCTTCTAGGACACTGTATATACCATGTTTCCTTGGCCCCTGAATCCTCTTCCCTCCTTGACTCAGGGTTAACCTTGCTTCCTATAAGAAGCCTTTCCTGACCATGAACACCAGATCTAATCTTCTTCCATGCATCTACAGAGCCCTGGCAATGAGTGATACCAGGAACTTGACCCCATCTTCCCACTACCTGTTTGTCTGTCCCCCAAATGTTCCTGAGTGCTGTAAGTCTAGTTACTTTTATATCTCCCACCAACTATAATAGGGCCTGCATTTGTTTGATGAACAAAGTATGACAAAATGGGAACTTAATTTACTTGGATATTAATATTAGTACTAACCACTTATATAAACAGCATGAATCAGTAGCTATCAAATCCATTTGGTATTAATAAATTGTTCATATGTTTATTTTTTCTAGAGCCATAATGGCCTCTTTATTCTCTCCATGTTGACAATAAATTATCATTAAGCACTTATACTATGTGCCTAGAGAAATGACTCAGGAGCCAAAAGAAGAAACTGTATATGGTTCTTCCCTCCTGGGGTTTTTCTGACTATTCTAGTTGCTCTCAGTGTTTCATGGAGTACTTCCTAACCCCTTTAAACCTGTGCAATGAGTATAGAAATTATACCTTATTTTATCTGCAACAGAGCTTGGCACACTGCAGACATCCAGTAAATATTTATTGAATGAGCCCTGAAGACAGGACTGGCAGAAAGATATAACATATGATAACAGAGAGGTTCTAGCATATAATTTGTAATAACATTACAGGTTTTGCCAAAAGAATATAAGATGATTATAGAAAAGTTTTGGAGGGGGGTATTTCAATGTTGTTCAAAATTGTATTGAAAGAAAGATTTTGGAAAAAGCTTTAGCCCAGAATTGCCTTCCTTCTGTCATATCTAGGTCACCTTCTTCTAGTGTTGTGATGCAGCCTGGCTTAAAGATAGCTACTGCAGGGTGAGCCTAACCCCAAGGATAGTTATAGAGGGAAATCGCTGCTAAGAACATCAGGAGACATGTGAGATACATTTGCGAGGCAATATAACTTCTCTACAAAGTAAACATTACAAGATTTCTAGATATAATTGGCCATATGTCCCAATGCAAGAAGTCCCTTTTGGCAGTATATATTTATTCTAATGAGACAGACATTCCTGGAAATACTCTGACTCCTGTGGAATTTCACTTTGCATTGGGTCAACTTCATTAGAATACCCTTAAAATGCTAATTCTTAGGTCTCCGGATGTCATGCTTGGTTTTCAGAAACACACAAAAACTACTGGGAAACTTGGTGCCTGACACTCTGGGTACTAAGTCTGGGTACAATGGATGTTGGCAAGGGCAGGCCCCCAGGCCAGTGTCACTCCAGAGCCCTGATAATTTTATGTGCAACCCTTCTATGTTTTGGAGTCATACTAAGAACTGGTCAAGCTTCTTAACTTCTTTAACACTTTAAATGTTTATCTGTATTTGTTTTTTGATATTTGTCTCTAATTAAGGCATTATTTTTGTACTATATTAAACCATTCTTTCCCCATCCTCTGTTTGTAAGTGGAATTGGTCATAACTGAACCTGTTGCTACACAGCTATCTTTTTCTGCCTCCACTGGTCAATAAAGAGATCCAGTTTCTTTTGTGTTTTATGGGCATGCCTTATAGACTGGAGGCAAAAACTTTTGCCCTGTCCAGTTTTCTTTTCTCTTCACTATGTCTCACTTTTATTTATGGAAGTTGATCATATAAACTAGGTTATGAAAATAAAGTTCAGATCTTCCTGTTGGCATCATAAAAGTATTTAAATAATCTCAGTGAAACTAACCACAAACTCACAGTATTGTGAAAGTTCCTGAAGCCAGCAATCTTGATTCACGGGTCAGGCTGCCACTGTTTATCTGCCATGCATTGCTCTGACTTCCCACTTTAATTTCCCTTATACCTACTTCCAAACTTATTGGCACCTTCATGGGTTTGACATTCATGGTTCTTACCTGGCCCCTGGGAACCAAAACTCAGCTCTGCTTCTCTAACTTTAACCTTCCTCAACCATCCTTGAACATGATTCCTGATGGCCAGATGGTACCTGGCCACCTGATCCCACCTGGCCTCCAAGGTATTATCTCTCTGCTTTTTTAGGCAGTTGTGAGCTTACACACCAAGTTCATTCTGGACTGTCCAGAAGAGCTCAGAATCTCTATGCTGAAAGTGATCTTTATGACCAGTAAGGGTGAAATTTATTCTCCAACCTAAGTTATTAATTGTATTTATTTTTACCAAAGTTTAATCTAAAACCCTAAATATATTGGCATAGGCTCTGAAGAACCCTGACTCAAAGCCTAGGTGATGTGTAGCTGGGGCACACAAGACCATGGGTGGTAGCATTTACCACTGACTCACCAGGTGGCCTGGAGATGGAGATGGAAAACATGAATTTATGAAAATTACATGGGAACAACTTTCAGCCACTCCACAGACAAAGAGGCAGCAGTAGCTGAATGTAGGAAATACTACTTAGAATATGATCAAGGTTGGCTCGGGAACAATAAGAACTTTCAGCAGATCCTCCCAGGGAGCCCCAACAGAAACACATCTGCAAGGAACCAGTGCACTCTTGGCCTATTCTGTTTCATTTGTCCTTTTTCTCTTTCTCCCTACTTTGATTCCTCCAAACTTTGTAGTTGTTTGGCCTGCCTTCACCTTGGTGCAAGGACTGGCTGTTACTTACCATGCCCTTTAGTGTCAGATCTGCTAAGGGAGACCGGTTGCCATGGAAATCTGGCCAAACATGCAGATCAACAGTGAGGAAACCCACAGGCTCAGCCTTCTTAATCAGATCCAGGTGACTATTCAAATATGCATATATACTCTGGCATCTGGAAGAGAAATGGATTTTGTTTTTAAAAGGGGGGGGGAAGGGTTGGAGAGCAAATTGTTCTGTAGAAAGAAACCATTTGTACTTCCATATCAGACCCAAGAAAGTAAAGCAGATTCCCAAAACCTCTGAAAAGAAACTAGCCTACCATGCTCTCAGATCACACTGTACTTTCATCAAGAAAGGGCAATCTGTCCTGGAGGCAAGCAGGAAGAGTTAGAATCAGAAGGCCAGATCTAGGAATGGTTTTACTTCTGATAGGTGTATAACCATGAGAAAGCTTTTCAGACCTTTGGAACTCATCTGTGAAAACAGATATCACAATCCCTGTCCAACTTACCTCATAGGGTTATTCTGAAGATCAAAGAAGATTATATATGCAAAGGCTGCATTCTGTAAACTCTACAATATGGTACATATGTAAAGGATTTATTAAAATCAGTCTTTGTAATTGTAATAATAATAATGATGAAATGACAAATGAACACAAATACATGTTCCTGGTCTCAATATGGGAATTTGCTGAGAAAGTGACTGAAAGTCATGAATGCAGTTAGGATCAGGAGAAAGAGACCTGATTTCCAACTGTAACCATTAAATGACATGGTGAGAGTTCTTTCCCCTTTTTAAGCCTTGATTTCTTCATGAGGGAATCAGACCAACTCCCTCATTCTTCATACTTTCAGTCTTGAGAGGACAGCAGAGGAAAGACTATAGTCTTGGAAGTCAAGCCAGAGCTGGGTTTAGGTCTGGTTTCCTCTTGTCCCAGCTGGGAAGTAAGACTTGGCCTCTCTGAACTGTAATTCCCCATTCACAAAAGAGGTATAAGGATCCCTCCTTCACTGGGCTAAATCTTACTGCATGGCACAAGGATGAAAGCTGGCTAGCTGGGCCCTCTCTAGAGGGGCTGCCTTCCAAAGTGCTGAACCACTGATCCCACAAGAAAGTGGAAACATCAGTTTGGCATCTCTGCCACTTCCCACTGGTGTCCTTGGAACTACAGCTATAAAGGTTTAAAACCTGGCTTGAATAATGTCAGAAAAATGTATAGGAAATCAATGTCCAAAGGAGGTTAATATCTAAGACACTTCAGACAATATTTATGACTTGCATTTGTAAAATGTTTTAGAAGTAAGGCTCAGTGATTTCTAGTTCTAGTTTTGTGATACCAGGAGTCCCCATGGATCCCATGAAGTTCCTGTAAGTTTTCTAAACTAAGTGTAAGGAAACAAACTAATAGGTGGAGTCTTGCTTTTCAACCCCCTCCCCCTTTATCACTGAAACCAAATACAGAGATGTAGAAAAGCAAAACTGCCCCTGCATGTGTACCAGTGGGTGTGTATCAACTCAAAAATGTGTATGTATGATGTGTGCTGGGTGGAGGCAAAGGCAGCCCCACCTAACACCAATCTCTTTGCTTCTTGCTATAACACCTCTGCCTCCAAACACATCAGGAGGAGTGACATCTGACCAGGACAAGGCTCAACACCCACAGGGCAGCAGCTGCTGTTCCCTGAATCTGCACCAGGCTTCCACCCATGGTCCCGGGAGAGAGGCATCACCAATCCCCCTCTATAGAGAGGACATTCAGAGAAGTGGAGAGACAGGACCAAATCCAAACGAAAATCTTTCTTGGTATGATTCTGAAGTCAAGTGCTTCCTGTATCTTAGGTTCAGAATTATTTGGCAAAGCCTCCCCACTCAAGCCTTATTTTAAAATATGCCATTATGGTTTTAGGAAAGGATTCTTGAGGCTTCCGTGGCAGGTGGGCCAGAGCAATATATGGAGGCAGAATATGATCACATCCTGGGTTTCCATCTCCCAGCTCCACATTCACAACAGAAGACTGGAACATCCTTTCTAGCCAGAAGCCAAGTGTTTACCCTAACTCCAGCCACTTTCCATTTCAGAACAGTGACAATGCTTTTAGAGTAAAGGGACTTTTATTTTATTTTTTTAAAAGAAGTGCATGTCTATAAATCTTTTCATTCTGCCTCTCAAGGAATCTCAGAGCAGGGCATCTGGTTTCAGACATCTGGGTCAATAAGAACCTATAGGCCTAATTACTATTGATTCGTCATTGTCTCATTTACTGTGGGCCTTTGCAAACAGTGAGATTCATTTAGCCTCTACATATATGGTCACTCACGCACTAATGAGATCCCTGGGGGATGGGGCATATGCTTACCCCTTTGACTCCTAACCTCCTCCCAGCTGTGTGTTTATTCTTTGGATTCAGCCATTCCCCTACATGTTTTTTCAATTATACCTTACCATGTGTGCTATCTGAGTATATCATTCAAAATGAAATGCACTTGGAAGACATTAAAATAACTAATGCACATCATTATTCACATAATTTTAACCTTGCATGATGCTTTTTTTGGTTCTGACTTTGTTTCATTTTGTATGTTTTATCAATTCCCTTTCAAATGGCAGTCTGCCCTTCTCCAACTAGGGAATCACATATTAATTGTGATCCCAATTGAATCGTTCTCCCTCCCTTTCATGAACTCCAGGCTCATATATCTGATCTCAGAGAGAGTTCTGTCTGTCCAAGTCCCACTGGGGTATGATGGAAAAAACACTTGCAACACCCATGAAGTGACTTCATCATGTACCAGCTGGATGAGCAGGCCCATCAACCTGAGTCTAGTTTACTCTTTTGCAGTTAGGCTAATACTCTCTATCTTTCAAGCTGCTAGGAAGATTAAATATAGAACACAGGCTTGATCGTCAGCAATGCAATAAATGAATAAGCAAACAAACAAACAAATAAAATAAATACAGAGCCCTCATCACTATAAAATGGCAGTGATTGAGAAATAGTTCACTTGCCTTTGTCATCACAAGACATACATCTTTAGATTTTAAAATACCCAAGAGTCAGGGAAGATTTTTTTTTTTTTTCAGAATATGTTGCTTACTATCTTAAATGCAGACAGCACCCGTGGAATCTCTCTTCTACTCTTCATTTCTACAAATCACTTAATTCTTTGAATTCACACACTGCCCAGAAGTATGGTGACCATACTCTCAACCCCCAAATCAGAATACATGGTATGACAAAAGACATGTGCATCCTTTCCAAGAGTAAGAACAAGGTCTTGGAGAAGAAGCTCCAACACTGTAAGTCTCCAGTTTCTAACTTCTCAGCCCAACACAATATACATTCTTCCAGTCCCCATTCTACTGAAACTTAACCCACCATAAAACTCCCAGGGATCATTTCTGCATTTTACATCATTTGACCATTTCTTCCTCATTTTGTTCTCTTCCTTTTATTTCCCAAACACTTTATTCTCTTGATTTTTCTACCTCTATTCTGGTTGGATCTCTTCCTATACTTGTCCCTTAAATATCTGAGCTCTTCCAGAAATCTGTCTGAATTCCCTTGGATGATACCATCCTTCTTTTAGAGCTCCAGTTACTATCCAGTACTGAGGACTTCCAAATATGTGTCCTTATATCCTGCTCATTACTCTCTGATGAGTTCCAGGTCAAATATCCAACCACCCATCAAATGTCTCTTCTTGGATATCCCAAGGCAACTTATCTAAAAATATTTAATCCGACACACATCATCTTTTCTGACATACTCCATCTTCCTACTGTGTTCCTTGGTTTAATCAAAGCCAATATCATTTAAGCAATTGTCCAAGCTGCTGCTTGGAAGAGTCATGGCAGGCATCATTTCTGACTTATTTTTCTCTCTCTGCTCCCCAATCTAATCTTTCACCAAGATTTGATTTCTCTTCTAAATATCCCTGTAACTATCAAACTTTTCTCCAGCTTACCTGCTGCTACTTTACTAAGGCCACCTACACTTGGTCTCCAAGTTCATCCCCCAACGTGCAATCCTGCTCACTCCAATGAGGCTTTCTGTACTTCTTCCTGGGTGATTCTTCTACAGCACAACGCTGATGATTCCCAGCCCTGATTCAACCCTGCAGTGGCTCCTCCCCATTGTCCTCAGGACAAAGGACAGATTTCTTTACTGGCACAAGATGTTCTTCATGAGCTGGTTTTCCCCTCCTTTCACTGTCCTGTGGACATGTGCTCATTCCTCCCTGCTTGCTCCATGCTCCAACTGCACCTAGCTAACTTTCATTCTCACAACACGCATGCCTCAGCTTCTGAATGTTTGCCCACTCTGCCTCCTGTTGGTTAGAATCCCTTTCCTTGCCTTCTTTACCTTCCCTGTGTCAATCATCATTTAGACTCATATGTGATGTCATCTTGAGACACTTCCTGAGCCCTGGCTCTTTTCACTGCCTGTGCTCCCACAGCCACCTATGCTGCACACAGCCATCTCAGCTCCTTGCCTTTGCTCTTCAAGGCAACCTCTTCAGAGGAGAGGAGGAGCCATCCTGGCATTTCTGAGCACTCTCAGTTATGGACAGCCACCCGGCTTCATCACTTGTGCTAGGGGTTGGGCAATAACACTCCTGTCTCTGGGTTGGGAATAAAGAGACCTCCTTTTTAGTATACATGAATATTTAATACCTTTATCCAAGTAAAAATGTTCTCCCACTTATCAGCTATTAATTCACTAATTCTCCATTTTGTTTTTACATTCTCCAGAATTTTACTGGGAATTTTTTTCTTCTCTGGGAGACATTACCTAAATGTTTTTATCCCAGTCTTCATCCCCCTGAAGAAACTTTTGGGTTACTTTTAGAAATAATTTTAAAAATTTTCCCTGCTGTCTTTTTAACAGTTATTTTTACTTACTTATTTATTTTAGATATACATGACACTAGAGTATAATTTAACATATTATATATACATGGAGTATAACTTATTCTAATTAGGGTACCATTCTTATATTTATACATGACATGGTGTTTCACAGGTCTTGTATCCATATATGAACATAGGAAAGTTAAGTCCTGTTCATTCTACTATCTTTCCTGTTCCCATTCCTGCTCCCTTCCCTTCATTCCCCTTTGTCTTATCCAGTGAACTTTTATCCCTCCCCACCCTTATTATGTGCTAGT